TTACGCGTAGTAAATCGTAGGTATTATAAGGCTAGTAAATGACGAATTTCCCTTGTTTATTGATGTCACACTCCTCCCTATTATCTACTCCTGATACCATCCAATGCTTGCCTTCCATCTCGTCAATTTCGAACATGAAATGAGACGTTCGAAATTAATTTTCACATCGGATTACGAATCTCGGAACAGAAGGGAAAAACGTTTACAGTCAAGCGAGATGCAGCGACAGGCTGGCTCACAAACCATTATCAAATAATAACGGATTCTAATTATCTGCTCTCTCTATACGTCTACCACTGTTTCGGTTCATTTCGGTTCAGACACTGCTGCAAAGGAGACAGTCAGTTGCTGTCTTGTGTCGTGACAGACTTAGCTAGTAATAATAATAATGATGATGATGATGATGACGATGATAATGATGATGATGGTGATGATGATGATCGTGACGATGATGATGATGATGATGATGATGATGATGATGATGATGATGATGATGATGATGATGATGATGATGATGATGATGGTGATGATGATAATAATGATAATAATACTAATAATAATATAATGTGAACACTATCTTCGTCGTTGCTGCGCAGAGGTGCCCAGGCTAGGAGGGCCGCCGCTACACCAGACGAAGGGTGAGGTTGGAAAGCAGGTGTTGCTGTCGTGTGAAGCCGATGGCAGCCCCGCGCCGTACGTAGACTGGTATAGGAACACTGTCAACGTCAGCGCTATTCGGACGGGCAGGTACGGAGAATCAATGTCACAGAACCAAATGTCAAAGAAACAATTCATAAAAACAAGGTAAACGGTGTCGAAGAACCAATGTCGAAGAAATAAGGTTGTAGAAACAATGCCGCTCAACAAATGTTAACGAAACAATGTCGAAAAAAAACTGCCGTAGAAGCAATGTGTCGCAGAGTACTGATTACGTGATTGAGACGCGCCGATGGGCGGCTCATGGGCCGGTCATCGTTACCGCGTTTATCGCTGGGTATATCACGACGCTCGCGTGAATTCATTAGCGGACTCCACGTTGTAACAGAACGCGATGCCCGCGAGTGTTTGAACAGCAATTATCCGTGCACTTGCCGCGGGTATTAGTTCTCATAATTACAAGCTAAGGCGAGGAGATTGCGAGAAATTTACAGCTTATAGCGCGGGGCGGACGTCGGATGCGATGTTATCCCGATGTTATCCCGTGAAGAAGTGTCGTAGAGAGATGAAGCTTGCTCAGCTTGCGCTGGTAATGCGTCCGCACAATAATGTGAAAACCTTGCTGACTGACAGCCCAGCGAAAGCAATATTTCCTTTTTTATTCGACTTCACGTTTTAAGGACCGTAGAGCCCCGCAGCCTAGCGCGTTCTCGCGCGCGCGACGGACGGACACACGATACGGGCGCGCGCGTGATTGCAAAATTGCTGCCGTACACCGAGCTCGCGCGTATATATGTTGCGCGCAAGCTCCGATACAGTGTATATACTATATATATGGTAACGGACCTGTAGGCGAGCTGTACGTGATTTGCAGCTGCGACTGTTCAAGGTACACGGTACTCGTCAACGGATCCCTCGTCATAGATGACCTGAAGGTGACCGACACGGGAATCTTCCAGTGCGTGGCGAGCAACGTGGCGGGAGAGACTACCGACTACACATGGCTGCGCGTGGAACGTACGCTACTTCTCCTCATTGCTCACTGAACGTAGACGGGAGGGATATGACGATATATATATATATATATATATATATACACACGCGATTTGTATCAACCAATGGGATTTGGGAGGTATGACCGTATGCATATAATGCAGAAGGTTGCTGAAATTATGTGTACGCAACTGCGTATCTGCATATCTGCGCCTAACAAAAGTGTCACTGCGCACGACTGTAGCAACAGACCTCAGATGAGCCCAGACGCTCTGCGGCTCTTGTTCAAAAATAATATTCTTAACGGTTACTGTACTTTTTATTAATGCGTTTTTGTCACTGGCTGAATATAAATACCATCAGGAGTAGATAATAGGGAGGAGTGTGACATCAATAAACAAGGGAAATTCGTCATTTACTAGCCTTATAATACCTACGATTTACTACGCGTAACTCATCCAACTTGAGCTCAAATCGGACACAGTACATTCGCCAATCATTGTGCGAAATCGTTTGCTCGTAGACACCCGCAATCCGGAGATACAGCCTAAAACGTACGACATGATTCTCCATTCTTTGGCCATCAATCCAGCCCATTGCGCGCCTATAATTCAGACAAAAGGCAGCAAGACTGCCGCGCAGTCGCTGTGTATGCTCTCTCGGATAGCTGAATGTGGCGTTGTGGCTCGCGGGGAGATTGGAGATCGACGCAACACTCGACGAGCTAATCATGCGGTTGGCGTGCTTGCGTGAAGGCATGCCAGCTATGTACAAAGGTGGCCTGTGTAGCTGTGTACCGGGTCAAAGGTTATCTCGCCGAGTGTTGATGCCTATAATCTCCCAGCGAGCCACATGCCTCGCTCAGTTAGCAATAGCGCGTTAGGTAGCTGCCTTTTGTTTGAATTATAGGCGCGCAATGGGCTGGATTGATGGCCAAAGAATGGAGAATCGTGTCGTACGTTTTAGGCTGTATCTCCGGATTGCGGGTGTCTACGAGGAAACGATTTCGCACGATGATTGGCGAATGTACTGTGTCAGATTTGAGCTCAAGTTGGATGAGTTACGCGTAGTAAATCGTAGGTATTATAAGGCTAGTAAATGACGAATTTCCCTTGTTTATTGATGTCACATACACTCCTTCCCTATTATCTACTCCTGATATATGACTATAATAATTTGCAATCAACTATGGCCATGGCGTAATAATTAGTATCTTGATATGCACGGAAGATCATATAATCCAATAAATGCAGAATTTATGAACGGGTAGCTCACGATTATTTTCCTTAAACAACTAGAACGATGTTATATGCATTACACAACGCACGCATCAGCACGCACGGCACACCACAGGCACTTCACTGGCAACGCACGCGCACGGATCTGCGTTTGTGCACGATGATGATGACTGGAAGATAAAGCAATATAATATACGCTCAGCGCGGGATACCCGGCGTTGCCCGGGGTAAGATCAGTGCCATGCCATGCGCCATGCCATGGCCGCCATCCCAACAGTAAAAAATAATAAGAAATCATAAATATAAGACATTAATATAGATAAATAAAAATTAAAAAATAGAATCTAAAAATATACATATAAGAGAGGTAGTAAGAAAAAAAAAAGAAAAAGGGAAAAATAAGTTCGCCCAGCTGGGAGCTGCGAACCAGAATGCCGGATGTTCTAGCGATTAGGCCAATAGCGTAAGGTATACCCCATTAATGGATCACACGTAACGTTGATGTTAATCTTACGCACCGACCATCTATTGATGAAATAGAATTTGTATAAGATTTCCCAGACGTGCTGATTCTTGAACATATCTTTAGTCTTTCCTTTAGGCTGGCGGAGTTTCTCTAGTTATGCGAGTACGAACTATTCGGTCTGAACAAGCTTTATATAAGATAAATATAATTCGATGTTCTAATTATACTAGTTAATGGATTTTAAAGCGAATCAATAGTTGCGGACGGAAATTTTCTTTCTTTCGTGACACGAGCCTCGTAGCAACAAACGCGATATCTTAATGTAAGTCATTTCGCTACGGCCGACAATAGAAATAATTATTAATACGGCCCGAGAAAAGATAATCAGTTTACGTTTGCGTTACATAGTATGCGGCCCCGCTAACAACCGAACGCTACGATGATCATGAAGCAAGAGAGACGGAACATGCAACGTCATCCTTGACCTGTCATCAATCGCGTGCGGGAGTCTAGATGGCTTGCACTTCTGCGACGGCAACGCCTGACACGACGCCAACTGACGACTATATATCTAGGTTGGCCGTCTGCCGCGTAATATTATATAACGTGTGATTATTCAGTACGTTCAGCAATTATTGCAATGTCTCCGGCGGTGTTATAATAATCTGCGTCTCTCCAATGTGATTGCCGCACTCGATGCTATGCGCGTACCATGCGTTCCAACGACCACGCGCTCTAGAGTGCTTTTCTGCCTTTTCTCAGCATCGCTACATCGTTGGCGGAGGCGATGGACGCGTCTTTAACGGCGTAACGATCTCACTGCCACTAGACAGCTCATCCAGGGTTATGCCCGCGCCAGGGGTACTTGCCGGAACGTACCCTGGGTAGCGGTCCGGTATATCGCGGAAACGTACGCCTGGTAACTATTTGATATGGTTAGGGTTTAGGGTAGGGTTATCGGTTAGGGTTACGTTGGTTTAGGGTTAGGGAGTTAGGGTTAGGGTTAGGGTAGGATTAGGGTTCTAGGGTTGGGAGTAGGCGTAGCGACTCCCTAGACTCGTTAGTGGAGTAGGCGGGTAACGGTCCGGCATATTAGATAGTAGGGCAGGGCTACGTATGCCGGTATCAACGGACGTACCCCGGTACGTTCCGGCAGTACCTGGGGGACATAGGACCCCTCTTCAGCGCCACTAACACACGCGTACTATCGCAACTACGTGTACATGTAAAACTATGTAACAGTAGTTTTTTGTTTTTATTATATTGTATTAATAATTATAAATTATATAGCGAATATAAATATACGAATATTAAATAATTAAATATAACATCGAATTGCGAAACTGTAGCGGCGCTTACGCTAGAATGGTACCGTTGCGCTTACACACGTTAGTGGTAGCGTGTGGACTGTCGGGACGGTACCAGTCTAATATTATACTAGCCAGCTAAGCCTCGATTCTCTGTGTGACCGCTCCATGGTTGTCAGGAGTGTATAATAGGGAGGAGTGTGACAAAAATAAACCCGGGAATTCGTACATTTACTAGCCGTTATAATACCGTACCGATTCTACTACGCGTAACTCATTGCCAACTTGAGCTCAAAACGGAAACAGTAGCATTCGCCCACATCGTACCAGAATCGTTTCCGTCGTAGAACACCCGCAATCCGAAGTTTGATACACCTAAAACCTAACGACACGATTCTCAATTTTGGACCATTAATCAACCGTAGAGCCGCCTATGATTCAAATCAGAAAGGCAGCTACTAACCACACTGTCCACGGCTTGCGCTCACGGGCGAGGCGCTGTGGCTCGCAGGGAGATTTGATCCGATGCTGCTGGCTGATCAGCGGAGTTGGCGTGCGTGCGTGGCTATGGGGGCATGCCAGCTGTATTGGGCCGGCATGCCGGTATGACATAAGGCATACATTTGTAGCTGTGTACCGGGCTCCAAAGGTTATCTCGCCCGATGTGTTGCGTTGATGCCTAATCACCCTGCGACGCCACAGGCGCTCGCCGTGAGCGCAAGCCGTGGACAGTGTGGTTAGTGAGCTGCCTTTTGTTTGAATTATAGCGCGCAATAGGCTCTGGATTGATGGCGAAAGAATGGAGAATCGTGACGGCGACGTTTTAGGCTGTATCATCCGGATTGGCGGGTGTCTACGAGGAACTAATTTCGTAAGATGATGGGGCGAATGTACTGTGTCCGATTTGAGCTCAAGTTGGATTGAGTTATGGCGTAGTCAATATCGTACAAAAAAAAAGGTTTAAATTATAAGGCAGTAATGGACGAATTTCCCGATTGTTTATTGTTGTCACACTCCCTCCCTATTATACACTCAATGATTGTTGTCTTAGCAACGGTATTCTGCAGCCGAAATTGCAGCACAATAAGTAGGACTATAGCGCGAGGGCCGTGTATTATCGTGTGGAACCAGCTACTATTAATAAATATGAATAATTACATTATATTATATTAAGTACTGGCATTGGCAGCAGCGACAACAATCAGCAAGCAACAGCTGTTTGCATTCGTGTCCCTCGGACTACGCGCACAATCGCCTTGTTCTCAGCATGACATAATATATGGGTTGTTGTTAGCAACAGTAGGAGCTCATAGGGTCATAGGTCATAGGGGGGAGCACTAGACGTCTCAGCCTAACTTGCTGTGGTAAAAAGTTCCATTGCGTAGAGATAGAATACTGAGTAGATATGAGCAATATAGTTATGTAAGTCCACAATGGCGGTAACTTTGGCTCGGCGCTTCACTTTAAAGGTTATGATATTATATATTTATGATGTTCATAACGACGTCACTGATGTTCTGACCACGGCGGCCATTACAGTTGGGCCTTAGAGTTTTTCTGCTGCATGGTGAAATGCGAAAGCACGCAGTCCAACAGGTATGTACGGTGCGCAGAAGGCTCACCAAATGCAAATCCGCACCACACAATGCAAATCCCGGCAACACAAATGGCAATGCGCCGCAACACCACAATGCAAACGTACAGACACAAATGCAAAATGCCCACAACACAAATGCAAACGTCACAACACAAATGCAAACAGTCAAACACAAATGCAAAATCTCACAACACAAAATGTCAAAACGGCCACAACACAAGCAACGCCAAACGAAATGCAAAAGCCACAACACAAATGCAAATTCCGTGCCCGTTGTAGCCCGGCCCGCCTGGTACTGTTTGTACTGGCGCACTCCATGATTGTATCATGCAGAGTAAGATAATCCAGGATATCTTTACTGCATGATCATCGCTACTCCGTGATTGTATACAGCTGTGTAACTCCCCTCCCTCCGCACACTGACGCTATCACGCTATATTGGCGCGGTAGAGAAGCTGGTAGAGACAGGAGAGGGGGAAGATAGGTGGTGGAGAAAGAGGGGGAGGAGCGGCGTGAGAAGGGGGGGCGAAGTGGTGGAGAAGGAGGAGGGGGAGAAGCTGGTGGAGAAGCGAGAGGGGAGAAGCTGGTGGGAAGGAGGAGGGGGAGCAGGTGGGTTCTCCGCTCTTCACCAGCTTCTCCCCTCCTCCTTCTCACGCAGCTTCTCCCGCTCCTCCTTCTCCAGCCAGGCTTCTCCCCCTCCTCCTTCTCTACCAGCTTTCTCGCCTTCTCCCGGCCTCCTCCATCCTCACCAGCCCTCGCTCCCTTCTCCCCCTCCTCCTTCTGCTACCACTTCTTCCCTTCTCCCCCTC